CATTTTATATATATATATATATATATATATATATATATATATATATATATATATATATAAAATATTATATATATATAACATATATTCATTTATTTATCCTACATTAAACAACAACAAAAAAAAACCCTTTAAAATAAAAATTCCTGTAAAAAACAAGGCACTCACATTGTTTATAGTGAAAAGAAAAATACATTCAGCTGCAGCACAAATTATAATCGTTGCCTTCTCAATTAAAATACGACATGTGAAGATGCTTCAGCAGTTCAGGACTGATGTATTGTTCATGTGTGGAAAATGTAACTGATCTTACATTGCAGGGAAGGTGACTGGTGGGAAGCAAGATCCATTGCTACAGGAAAAACAGGCTACATCCCAAGCAATTATGTAGCTCCTGCAGACTCCATTCAAGCAGAAGAGTAAGACATTGCATCCTGTCAATCTGTTCTTATTATCCATTCTGCATTTAGTGCCCTGTAAGAACATTCACTTCAGTTACTGCATGCAGCATTTAAAGGTGTAGTGGGATTATGCCACTAATTAAAGGATAGGAAGGCTATGTGGGTGTTGTCAAAGGTATAATTGTTAGTGGATGTGAGGTAGATGCTTCTGCAAATGTTTTATGCTTGCTTGCGACATGTAGCTAAAGGAGAAAGGATGGAACAGTGCAGTAATGAAGATGAGAACTGGGAGATGTGTTCTATATTTCATTAAGAGCAAAAATGCGTGATCTTTTAATTAAGAGTTCGCACATCCTCAACTCTAGGCTTTTATCTGTATTTTTGTTTGTTAAAACCTAACTCAAAATCAGCTGTATCTCTGGTAGTGCCCAATGTCACATTATAAAAGTAACATTCGTATTGACAGCTATTGCTAATCTATTCATCTATAAAAGCTTCCTATTGACAAAATGGTTAGGGACGTCAAGAACAATCATAAGTTGGGAAAATTGCATTAATTTGGGTACCAATAAATCTCACATTTATTTAAAAACAAAAACCCCCAAGAGCTTACAGAATTGAAGTTATTTTAAGAATAATGAGTTGGAATATAACTTTCAGATGATCCTTGTTTCAAGGGAATAATTGTGTTTACTGTACTACCAATGTGAAGCTCTGCAGCTCTTGATGTGATACACAGACATGGTTTTGCCAATAAGCAATTCCCTGATATGTTATCTGGGCGCTTCTGTGTTTCCTACTGCACTTCTGGGAAAACTGCCCAATTTCCAGGATATTTCCTGAATTTCAAGCTGAGAACATTTCATGTTGTTGCTGCTCTCACCTGGCCCTTTGTCATTTAAAAATGATTGTGTCAAAGGCTTGCTGTTATTTATTATGTACAATGCAGGCCCTTGCATTTCAGCTGTTTTTATAATTGAAGTTTATATATATATATATCTATATATACATAAAATTATTGTTATTATCGTCTTAAACTATGCAATAAAAATATATCATCATTCTGGCTACAGTGGTGTTAAAAAGGAAATGGTGGCCCTTTGCAAAGTAAGAATGCAGTGCTTCTGCACAGAGTATTGCTGCTAAGGAGAGACGGAGTGGTTGGGATTTGTCATAGGTTTATGTCATGGATGGAGGTGAGAGTGAGGGGCAAAAAGCAAGAAAGCTTTTTTAAGCTGACATTATTTTAAAGAACCAATGCTAATTTTATTTAGTATTGCCTCGCTATCTGAAATATAGTTCATTTGCTTTAGAACTCATTTGGTAGCCCTTAGCTTTGATTACAGCTGGAGTTGCAAATAAAAAAGCAGTATACAGCTTTAAGTTACTAGGATTTTCTTTAAGTGGTCTTTCCTAAGCCTGGAGATGTTTATATTGCAAATTATATACTGCTTGAGATAGGCTCCGTATTATCCTTATGGTTTTTGAATGCTGCTATAGTATAAATGTTAAAAGCTCATAAAAGAACAAGTTAATCCTGCTATTATTTTATTTTATATAATAACACTTTACAATATAATTTGTAAATTGACATAGTGTTGAGAAGAGACATTTTCATGTGAAGTAATTACTGGGGTTCAGGTTTGCTTTAGTAAGACTAAATGTTACGTCCAAGTTGTCTCAGGTGTGTGTATACTTTCACGACCAATTCTAAATTTGCAGGTCAACTTCAGCAGTCAAACTGAAAACACAAATGTAAAAATAAGTTTAAAATCTCTAAGTGATCACAGAGGCCATTCTGATTGCATGTCAGCAAAATGATCCCTTCTTACCTACATTTTTGCCAACTTTCCAACGCTTACAGTGCCGGATCTGCTTGATGCTACAACAGTCCCAAATTAAATTGTTGGAAATTTACACTTTACACCATTCTATGACTTCAAAGACATGCAATCAAAATATGTTTAGAAAATGTGTTATTACAAAGTCTGGACGTTAAAATGATTTATGCTGCCTGTTGGTCAGCTCTTCAGGGGTGTAGGAGAAATCCCTTTTCTGAAAGAACTTAGGCAAGAAAAACAGCAGGTGTGTTAAAACATCCGTGTATTTTTCAATATTAGAATGATGCAACAAAGATGGAGAAAAGTACGTTCACTACCATAGGAGTGTTTCTACGTGAATGTCAGAAAAAAGTGCTCCCTCTACTGAAGGATGAGGCACAGCTGAAGTTAGAACAGGAGGATCCAACTGGAAGTAAGAAAAAGCCTTTCACCTTGAGGATGGGCAGCCTAGCAGAGTCACAGGGCCTGGACATTGTGCAGGATCCATCCTTGAGGGTTTTTAAGGGGACTGGATGACACCCAACATCCAGGTCTGATCTCACAGCTGCCCTGCCTGTAGTGAGAGGCTGGACAAGAGACCCCCCCAGAGACTCTTCCAGTCTGAATGAACCTGTAATCGCATGATACTGCCACACACCTCCTCTATATTAAATACGTATGTTCTTCAACATATGGCTGAAATTTCTTAAAGAAAGCATTTTGGACTGCTGCAGTGTTTTGAGAATACTACCAACAGAATTTCATTGTCATCTGATTTAGCTTGACCTATTAGCTTCTTTACCACAAGGAGAGTGTTCCTTCCAGTAATAAATGCTGTTGATGCTTATTATTGAACCATACAAAATATTTGCAGATAGAAGCCTCTTAAGTATTTTGCTAGCAATAGAAATCAGTCATGTAGAAATAGGTCATCTTAATCTCCTGATTATATGGATGTCATTACTTTTGTTTATCTGTAACTGCTTTGTAATATTAGTAATCTAGTCAGTGCTTGAGACTTCCAGATCTTCTCTTTACATGACTATCAAAGCGTAGGCAGCTTTTATTTAGATGTATTTCCTTTGACTTCTTCTAGGTGGTATTTTGGTAAAATGGGCAGGAAAGATGCAGAAAGACTACTTTTAAATCCTGGGAACCAGCGTGGTATTTTCTTAGTAAGAGAGAGCGAAACCACTAAAGGTACGTGTATCACTGTCTCTTCTTCTTCCTCTCCCACCCCTGCAAAGGTGAACAGGATGGTCATTTTTATATCTGTTACACTATATGTACACATATAAAAACACTGGGGAAAGTGTGTTGTTTGTACTCTGTGTAGGTGAGGCATTGGCACAGCTGCCCATGTAAGCTGTGGTGCCCCATCCCTGCAGGCACTCAAGGCCAGGTTGGATGGGGCCCTGGGCAGCTGAGCTGCTGGGTGGCAGCCCTGCCCATGGCATGGGGTGGGATTGGGTGGGCTTTAAGGTGCTTTCCAAACCAACCTATTGTATGGTTCTACGATTCTGTGCTTCTAATTTTTTTGTAAAGCAGCACATATGACTTGTTTTCTAGGTGCTTACTCCCTTTCCATACGTGACTGGGATGAGGTCAGAGGTGATAATGTGAAACACTACAAAATCAGAAAACTTGACAATGGTGGATACTATATCACAACCAGAGCACAATTTGAATCTCTACAGAAGTTGGTGAAGCACTACAGAGGTAAGCCTAAATTCTAATTTGATTTGAGATATGCATATGATGAGATACGCATATGCATATTTGAGATATCAATATATTGATTTGCATATGATGACGAATAAAAACGTCATGTGTAGCCTGCTTTTCAAATTGACTATTCTAAACTTTTTTTTAATTTTGATTAACAGTAAACACAATAGTTCTTTTATCAACATGAGGATGTTGCTTTTGCTGTAGCATTACCGTTGTTTATCTCTGAAGCTTATATTTTCCATTTTCCAGAACATGCTGATGGACTGTGTCATAAGCTGACAACTGTTTGTCCCACAGTGAAACCACAAACACAGGGACTAGCAAAAGATGCCTGGGAAATTCCTAGAGAGTCTTTGAGGCTGGAAGTTAAGTTGGGTCAAGGATGTTTTGGTGAAGTGTGGATGGGTAAGAGCTTAATGTTATCTCTGTGAATGGTTTTAATAGTATTTCCAGTAAGTAATTTTCGGAATCTTTAAATATGATCTCATAAACAACCAAAGGAAAAAAGAATGCCAATTACACATACACGTATTTGAATAATGTTCATTGTAGTTCAATGTAGTTAACGATCTAAGATTATTCTGTTACTTAACAAAACAGAAGGGGAAAAAAAGAAAAAAACTTTTAGCAGAAAATCCCTGATTTTATAGTGGGGAATAACATTTTATTTGCTTCTCTAGGAACCTGGAATGGAACCACAAAAGTAGCAATTAAGACACTTAAGCCCGGTACAATGATGCCTGAAGCTTTCCTTCAGGAGGCTCAGATCATGAAGAAATTACGACATGACAAGCTTGTTCCACTGTATGCCGTTGTTTCTGAGGAACCAATCTACATAGTCACTGAATTCATGACAAAAGGTGTGTGACAGAATGGTCTAAAGATATTACGTTCAAAAGATTATTTAAGATCACAGCAACAAATGATATGTTTAATTAATGTTAAGTTTAAGGAAGCTGAAGTATAAGTGATAATTCTGATTAAATTAAAATGAGCAACGGTTGACCTACTTGAAGCAGTTCTGATTTAGATCATGGGTGGAGACATGATTTTTTTTTGCACATCTTGTGTCACCCTTGCTAATCTTCCAAGTTCATGGTTGATTTTTTTTTTCCCATTGTTTTTAGTGAGTAGTGCCTGGTACATTTAAATTGGGTGGTATAGCTGGAAATACCATTATAACTAATATGCCTGCCTTGTAGATAGTTGTGCTCATGACCACAGAACCAGTTGCTTGTGGTTTTCTTTCTTTGTTTATTCACTTTGGTTTTATTTTCTATAATATTTTTTTTTTAAGGTTGGCTTTTAAAAATAGCAGAATCTAGCCTTTATATCTCCTTGATTTCAGTCCTTCATCCTTCTTCCCTTGCTCTTTTTTCCTTCCTCCTGCTCCTGATATGGAGACTTAAGAGATTTAGGCTGAATATGGAAGTAAACATTATAAGCATATTAGTATTAAGAAGAAGCAGGTTCTCAAATAATTTCTTCCAGTTTGTGAAAAATGTCAATTTCTCTTTACCTCAGAGAAATCTTGCTATCCTGGTAGGAAATAGGAATAATGCCAAAACCCAAGAGAGTAACTACTTGCATTCATTATTCCACTACAGATATCTTGCTTGGGTAATTTTTTTTCCATGTTTGAATGGATACATATTTTTTGAATGTTTTGTAAGCTTTAAAACAGAGAGAGAAATAGAAAATCTTTAAGGTTACTTCTGTGTTGTTATTCCTAAATAACAGTAGCCAATCTCTTTGCTGGATCTTTAGCAGCCATGCAAAATCAGTTTTTACCGTTCAGAAATCAGGTTTTGGCAAGACAGTCAAGATAAACAATTGCTTTCTAGGGACGTTATAAAAGCAGAATGAAAGAAATGGTGAAGTAGTTGCATGTTTCTTTAAACCATACATTTGAAATAGCATTGAAAGCTTCTGTTGTCAGAGATGAGATTTTAACATACTTGTGAAAATTGTTGTTTTAAAACAAGCACAAATCCTTGGAATTCATTTCTAATGTAACTAATGTAATTTTGTGGGCATCATTCTGTTTCATTCTGAAAATGGGAGAAGGTAGCATGTTGTAAGGAATGGAAAATACTTTTGTTTTCTCCTGTATGGAAGAAGAAGCATCAAAATAATACCAGTTTCAGAATCATTTATCTCGTATATAATCGGAACTGGAATTGGAATTTAACTAAATTGGAATTTAACTACAAGGGTGGTTTTTTTTCTTTTTTTTTTCTGTTGTTTGTTTAATTATCATGGGGAAAAAAAATCAACTAGGATACCTGGAATATTAGGCAAAATCTTCAGGCAAATAGTTACCAAATGGCAGTTTGCTTTGTTAGTGTTCAGTAATCTGAATTAATAAAATGAATACCAAAATGCCTGGCTAAAACTTGCACTGAGTACCAGGGCACAGTTGACTAGGGTTATAATCACTGAGTTGTGTTCTGGAAAATGAGGGCTTTTCAAACTCAGGTATTGGAAGCTGAATGCATTAACTGTAATGTCTAGTGGAGGAAAAAAAGCCCTCAAGTTTGTGTTTTCAGGTCAGGTTAATGTGTGCTCTTCTGTAGTTTTTTCACTGAATTGTGTCTTTTACAGGCAGCTTATTAGACTTCCTGAAAGAAGGAGAAGGGAAGTTCTTAAAACTCCCACAGCTGGTGGACATGGCTGCTCAGGTACTGCATAGAAGACAAGAAAACTGTGTTTTGTACTTAGAGAGAAGACTTAAAGCTGTATCAGATATCAACTAAGGTTAAATATTGAACACTCCAGCTATTGTATGCTGTTCTTTCTTACATCTTCTGTTGTAACTTGGTGATTTCTTTTCCACAAATTACGAAACGTAGAATTTAGATAAGCACCTGTCTGGCTTGCTGTTAGAGCAGCAAGTTCTTGCTATGCTCTACTTCCTGTACTTACACAGTGAGAATGGAACTAAAATAAAAGGATATAGCTTAATGCTTGGGATAAATGTGCACAGTCATGAGAAGTAACTGTAATAAAACTTTATTTTTAAGATTGCTGATGGCATGGCTTACATTGAAAGAATGAACTACATCCACAGGGATCTCCGGGCAGCTAACATTCTTGTAGGAGACAATCTTGTGTGTAAAATAGCAGACTTTGGTCTAGCAAGGTTAATAGAGGACAATGAGTACACTGCAAGGCAAGGTAAGACCGATTTATTTACTGATTAAGTAAGTCCAGTTACCTTAAAATTATTTAGAACAATTACATTTAGCAGGTCATTATATTGTGTATGCATGAATAAAGATTACATGTGCTTTTGCAGCTGTTTTTGGATGTCATTCTGCCTAAATGCAGGTTTTTGTGAATTTTTATTGTTTTAAGTAAATTGTCAGATTTTTCAAAAAACATTTAAAATTATTTTTTTCAGATAAAAACTTTACTATATTTTGAAGAGAACTGCAGTTCCAGAACAGATCTCCATTGCTTTCTGAAAATTACCCCACATTTTGAAATGTGTTTACGAATCTCAGAGGTCTTACCTGCTTCCAAAAATTATAGACTGCTCAAGTTTGATTTCCCATTTGAAATACTAAAATACTTAACCACCTTGAATTTGGCCAACAAAGAAAACTGTAAAAAATACTTTGAGTGCACTCTTTTATTTAAAATATTTTAAAGTGTAAGCAAATCACCCGTGAAGTCAGATATCTGTCTTTTTAATGTTTGCAGGAGCTAAATTTCCAATTAAATGGACTGCTCCAGAAGCAGCATTGTATGGTCGGTTTACAATCAAGTCAGATGTGTGGTCATTTGGAATTTTACTGACCGAGCTGGTAACAAAGGGGAGAGTACCATATCCAGGTAAGAGGAAATTTTTTCTTCTCTTTGTGGTATTCTGTGCTTCTGAAATTACCTTTTGTACTTTTCTTACTTCCATCCAGAGCCCACAGTAGATTAGCAGAGATAAAAACCTAGTCACACTTCACTGCTTCCTTTGTTCTCAAAGTACTTGTTTGATTTACAGATTAACTGTTACAATGATTTTTAAAGTATTTTAAAATTATAGCATTTGTGAATATGACTGGTAGTTCTTTTAAGATTAGTGGGTGTTCTTATGTTTTCCTGTCTATCTGTTCTTGAAAATCTCACTTCATACATTTTCCAGTAAGCATCCCAGAGTGAACATACCAGACCAGTTTTTGAAACTAGAAGTATGCAACTTGATCTACTGGATATTTTGCCATGAATAGAATTATAAGGCAGTCCTGCTAGGCATATAATGCCTTTTTCTTGGCCTTGTTTCAAATTGAATAGAACCCAAGGGAGACAGAAGGTATTTGTGCTTAAGTCTTTCGTTTTGAAAGAATGGGCCCAAGACACTGGTAAATGTTCTATAATAAAACATACTAGTAACTATAAAAATGAACAAGAAACAAGGAGTAAGGAATTATCAGCACGGTGAAATAATTTTTAGGAAATGTATTTAAACCAAGATTTAAAAAAATTCATTCTTTATAAAGTGCTGATGTGGTAGAGTCACATGCACATCATGAACAACATTGTGGTGGAGGAGGAGTAGAGGAAGACTTGGAAAAGCTTTCTGTTTATCTGTTCTTTGTTTAATGTCATTCAAAGCTAACATGCTTTCTTTTTATTAGGAATGGTGAATCGGGAAGTTCTGGAACAAGTGGAACGTGGATATAGGATGCCTTGCCCACAGGGCTGCCCAGAATCCCTCCATGAGTTAATGAAACTATGTTGGAAGAAAGACCCTGATGAGAGACCAACATTTGAATATATACAGTCTTTCCTGGAGGACTACTTTACTGCTACAGAACCACAGTACCAGCCTGGGGACAATTTATAAGCCAACAGTCTATATAACATGCACAAATCTGCCAAATGTAAAAGACTTGCAAAGAATTCCTGACGTCTGTAAGGAATCAAAGGAAAGAAAATCTTCGCTACTTTGCATGCTCTTAATGGCAAACTGGAATTTCATAATACGGTTGCACAAGACCACTTTTCAAGTGTTATAATCTAATTTACCAATGACATGTCTTTATTTCCTATTTCCCAACTTATTTCAGGGTCCAAAGGAAGCTTACTGAAAATGTGAGGTAGTAAAATGAGTGTTGGTGTGAACGGTAGCAGGAAAAAAAATGTTTCATATATTTTATTTGTCCAACATTTAATCATCTTCTGAAAGAGGGAATTGTCTGGAAGTGATCTTGAGGGAGGACGTTTTTAAAGCAGAAGAACTTTGTGGGACCAAGGAATTCCATTCCAGTTCTATAAAATTTCCTATGTCCAAAATTATGCCCCCCCCCCACGCCCAAGTATGGTACCACCATATTTGATGCATAGTCTTGATCTTTAAGCTTCCTTTTGCATGGTCTGAATTTGGGTAGGCAGGTTAAAAAAGAAATTGGAATGGTGAGTGACGATCTTGATCTGAATGGTACACCTCAATAGTGAAATTAGAGAGCGTAACACACTGTGTTAATACTTGTATTAATATAACTGGAAAGTAGCATGAGAGATTTTTCTTTTTCTCTTTCTGCGTAGCTGATTAAGAATAATGAAGGTAACTAGAAAATGAGGTAATATTTTATAAATTTATGTGATAAAGTATGGTGATATTTGAACTTGAAACTATGTGATACAATCAGGGGAGGAAATCCTTTAAAAATTCTAAGTTCCTATCCTACAGTGAGCTCTTAAGTGGGAAGACTACCTGAACAAAGCTCACCTTGAGAGCTAGGCTGGAGGTGGTAAATGGACACTTCTTAGTCCTTTTGCAGAGACAGATTTGGTACTGTTGTATGTGGCTCGTGTGTTAGTAAGGGTGGGTGCCACAAACGTTAGATGTCACTAGTTCAGGGATTTGATTGCACTTTTGCTTTTCTTGACTATTAAGACACCCTAGACACAGTTGCTCTTCCCTCTTACGCCCCCCAGAATTATTTAACTAAAAATAAACAAAAGAAAATGTGAAAACTTAAAAACTAAAGGGAGAAAATATATTTAATGTTGTCCAGATGAAGTGACATGGAAATTTGCTGGCAGTTGGCCCAGCTCACACTACATCCAAATTTATTTTCTTTGGCTACTGACATATCAAGCAATAACATCATGTCTTTTATTCAGCAATTTGCATGACGTTTTTGAATTTCTGATTGAGCTTATATACTTTAATTTTGAAACACTAAACTCTTACACAGCTGTCAGGTTTGAATTCATATTAGCATTGTAAAGCTATCCAACAAATGATTTTCAGAAAAGCTGATGATATAGTTCTGGTACTAAACCTATCATTTTTCATGAGTTTGTACTCAGTTGAATCCAGCTACCAAACAGATCTTTGTAAGAACAGTGCCATCATTTTCCATTTTCTGTCATCATCACTCATCACCTATACATCTGTGGTTATCAAATTTTAAAAGGGCTTTATGTAAGAAAAACAAAACAAAGAAACAAAAAACCCACAAAAAAACAACAAAAATTTAAAAAAATATATATGATGGAATTTTAATTTTTCTAAGTATTTTAAAATAAGTAACACAATCATGTGAGTTTATGTATTAATACAGCTATAACAAAAAATGCCAAAAATGACATTGGCATTGTTTGGATTTTAATTACAGAATGGAACAGTTCATTGTAATAACACTTGTATAGTAAAGGAATAAAACACTAACTTAATGAACGTGTTCATTGTAAATGGTTGTGTATTATAAGACTTCTCCAAAAGAGTTTGTATGTTTATGAAAATTTATTTGTTTCACCAGAAGATCTTGATGATGTGGTTCTTACCCTAACAGAATTTAAAATTCACATTCACACTTTTTATATAAATAGTAATAAGTTTAATTATGTAACTAAGTATTTTTATAAAGTATGGCATTGTTGAACTGTTTTGCAGAATTGGTTCAAAATAAATTTCTCCTTGATTGCATCTGCTTATTTGGGAGGGGAAGAGACACAGGGGGGAACAAAAGCAGAGTGGTCTTCATATTGAGGGGAAAAGGAGTGGAATAAAAGGGAGACTGAACTTAGAAGCTGTAGCTGTCTTGTTGACTTTGGGATGTATTTTTATCCACTGTAAACTGTTCCAGTGTACTTTAAAGATGCTGACTTCGTGATGTGTTATAAACTATTGGTGTCAAAGAGGAGATATTTTCCAGAGCAGTTCAGAAGTCCTTGGCAGGAATTGGCTAGAATAATTTTGTCTAGACTTATTTTGAGTCTCTTTTAACAGCTGGATGGACAGACAGGCCTGGGGTTCTCAGTAGAGAACTTCCAAAGTGGGCTCCCAACTGGCAGCTGGGCTGTGGGGCAGGGGCCTTCCCTTCCTCTTTTATCTGCTGTTGGCAGCCTCTGGTGGCTTCTGCACAATTCTTTCAGGGAATTTTCTAAATCTGTTCTTGTGGTAGCTGGTGTTTTATCTCAACTTCATTGAATGTTATCTGTCTTAAAGGCCAGTACAACTCAGATCACAGATCCTGAAGTTCATGAGCAGCGCCACTATAGATGAGGCAGCTGTGCTGTCGGCGGCTGGTTTTGTTTCAGTAACGACTCGTAACAGAGCACTAAGAACATTTTTACAGATTCTATGACCCGCAACATGTACTGTACTTTAAGTATGTCCTGTAATGTAATTGATGTTTTCTATTTTTAATGGTAACAATCGTGTAATTTCTGGTAATCTCCCTGTTGTCCATCCCACCATTACCACGTCTGCTCTTTGTGAGAGGCCTGCAGGTTGTTTCTGTCATTCATTCTTTCAAACTGTAGTGTTGTCAGAATATTTTCATATTTTTGAGTAAACTTCCAAACATAAAAACGTCTATGATTCTACTGTTTAGATAAAATGAAAAGAACCTGATGTGTTCTTATCCTTCCCACTGAATTGTCATCTCGCTGGGGCTGTGACTATCTCTTACCACTGACCATTAACCTGAGAAAAAGGACCTTAAACAAAGAAAGTCTCCTGAAGCCTCCCAGGCAGAATGCTGCCTTACCCACAGCCATCTAAGAATGCTCTCAGTTCTGAAGTGCACTATCTACACCGTACTGAGAAACCTGAAACGTGGAAAGTGAATACAAACTAAACGTAATGAGTCCCTGCTCTTGTTATTTGTGTTTATCTGTTTAATCCAATAAAATCCTTGGGTTTTATTTATTTCATTATTTTCATTTTCCTTTTGGGAAGATGCTGCAAGTGTTTGTGACAGCTTCCCCCCTTCTCCCCCCCCCAGCACACAAGACTGCTGTGGAACCACACAGCTGTGTTGGGTTGAAACCCCAAGAGCGCTCTCTTCTTAAACAGAGTATTCTCTTGCAAGCAGTGGCTCAAATTGTCATGCAGGCAGGTCTGGATGGATATCTGTCTGCCTAGCTTTTGCATTGTGCAGTAGATATAAGAGTGAATGTCTAAAAGAGAAGGAATGAGAGCAAGACTGCCATTGCCTTGTAGGCCTCACGGCAGCTGTGCAGAACAAGTCAGAGAGCAGAGGTATGACACTGCAGGTGTCATCTCTTCTCCTTATGCTTTGGAAAGGATTAGAACTGCCACACAAGGCACTGAAGAGCTGCTTCTCCCCCTGCACGGTGGAAATGGAGAAAAGCTAACACCAAGTGTTTCTGTTTTCTGTGGTGGTTGTGTCTGCTCAGCTCACTGTGCCTGCTTCCTTGCAGCTCTTGGTGTTGGTTAGGGAGTCCCTGTGTAAAAAGAGCAGCATTTTCCAGAATAAGCCTGAAGCGTTTCATAGGAAAAAATGGTGCAGAGAGGTGCTGATGTCTGAATCCTGAGTTGACAGGGCTGCTTGCTGCTGGAGTTTGGCCTGAGCGATTGCACTCTGGCTTAACTTGGTGTCTCTTTCCCTGTGTATGTATGAGTTGTCTAGATTAGGTTTCCTTCCTCTCCATTTGGTGCACAGTGCCCAGGAATCTACTGGAGTTCATTCTGGCATTCCCCATAGGTCCTTTAGTGAATCCACTCTGAACAAATTTCCCATGTCAGTTTTGAATACAAGTATTTGCTGCATGTGCACAGCATGTTGGTTAATTTTAACATTCTCTTTTAAGTCAGATTTTTTAAAAATTGTAATAACCACTTTATTGAGGAGATCAAAGTATTCCCAGCACTGCATACTTTTGCAAAACACGGTCCATCTCCTTCAAGTATTTTGTTTTAGTACAGAGAAATTGGCCCTTGTGTTGCTTTCAATTTGTGCTTCCTAATGGAGAGGAGCCAGTTACCCCATTAAACTCAGTGGGGCCCGAAGAGCAGGCTGCAGGTTTAAAAGGGAAACCTGAGTGCAGCATTCCTGGTGAATCAGTCATGCACCAGCACTGCAGCAAGCTGCTGTGAAAGCATTCCTTCTTCATCAAAATCCCCTCTCTGTGGGAGCCCTTCGCCCCTGCGCTTTGTGCCCTGCTGCCCAGCCTCCAAGTCTCTTGCAGTTACTGGTAAGTACATGCTGATGGATGGACCCCTGAAAATCCATCCTGTGCTTGCTCACAACTTGTTTTTTCCTGAACTTCACCAGGGGCTGCATTCACCCTTTGCTTGGTGTCCCCACACTCATTCACGTTTTGACAGTCATCCAGTGCCTCGGTGGCTGTTGATGCTTATCGGCTTTGGTGTTCGGAAGCACTGAGGAATGACTCAAACTGGCTTGTGTCCAGCGTGGGCATTCTTTCCCTTAAGCTAAAGGACTGCAAGAGCAATATAAATGGTTTACAGCATTTATATTTGTTGCTGTTTGTTAAGGTCACTACCTTAAATCTGTATATTTCACCTTGCTGTATTTATCAATGGACTGATGGATTGCCATTTGCAAAGGAGTTGTTTTTTTTTCATTTGATACCAAAGTTCATTAGCTACACTGAGTTTAAGATTATAGTAATTAGACCACTAATAGGCTAAGTATAATCTGTGTGCTGCTGTTGTCAGAATAGCACCAGCCATTTAAGTATGATCAGAGTTGAATGGGTTTTCTAAATACTGAGTGTTCTTGCTTATGTAAGCATCAACTTTGTTTATACAGAACTCTTCCTCCAGGCAGTTGTTCATTCCCTGCCCTGTTTGCAGCTGCACTTCTGAAGCAGAAGTGGGTGCCCCAGACCATGGAAATGAGCAATTCCTCCTTTGCTGCTCAGTCTGGTGTTTCACTGTCACTGTTGCATATGTCAAAAACCTCCAAGCCATCAAATGTTCACCCTCAAAACTGTGACCTGGTGATAAGGCTTTTCCTCTCTTAGTTTACATCTGTAATTCTTTCTTATAGAAATATATATATACATATATGTGTACTAATTAGTAATCTGCCAAGTACATACTCTATTATTTTAAGCTTCTTCAAGGATTCATCATTATTCTTAGTCACCCTCAGATGCGAGTTTGCACGTCTCTGGTTTGTTACTTTCTGCTCCAGATTCAGTGATATAAGATGCTGAATGCCCTTTGGTCTTCATGAGTGAGATGAGCTTGCTGCAGCCTGCTGAGAAAGCTACAGGACATCAGCCTCTGTAAGACAGGCTTCACTGCACCCAGGGCATGTGGGTGGGATATTCTCCCCACAATGCAAACAAAGAGGCACTGGCTGTTGATGTGTCTTGCCCAGAATCACACAAAGAGCACTGATGAGGCTGCATCTCAAGTACTGTGTTTTGGGACCCTCACTACAAGAAAGCCCTGGAGCACGTTCAGAGAAGGGCAGCAAAGCTGTGAGGAGCAACTGAGAGAACTGGGATTGTTCAGTTTGAAGAAGAGGAGGCTAAGGGGAGACCTTATCTCTCTCTACAATGACCTGAAAGGAGGTTGTGGTGAGGTGGGGGTCAGCCTCTGTTCCCAGGTGACTGCAACAGGACATGAGGAAATGACCTCAAGTTGTACCAGGGGTGGTTCAGGTTGGATATTAGGAGAAATTTCTTCTCTGAAAGGGTGGTTGGGCAGTGGCACAGGCTGCCCAGGGAGGTGGTAGAATCACTGCCCCTGGAAATGTTCAAGAACTGTGTGGATGTGGCACTGAGGGACGTGGTCAGTGGGCATGGTGGGGAAGAGTTGATGACTGAATTAGATGATATTGGAGGTCTTTTCCAATGTTAATGATTCTATGAGTCTATGTTTGGCAGCACATCACAGGCTGATGGCTGGGACAGAAGAGCTACTCTGCCTTGTCTCCCTGCTGGATCAAGGGTAAAGGGAAAAGACTAATAGCTGTGCCTCAAGTGGCTAGCCTCACTTCATCTGTTTTAATACAGATGCTATTATGCTGTGCTTTTTTTATTTTGTTCATCATCCTTAAACCAATGTGACAAACAATTGCACAAATTTCAGATACACCACTGATGTGCTAATAGAAGTCATGGAGAGCCATCTGTCCTTCAAAGGTGGACCTTGGTACCCTCCCTCTTCCTCGTTCTTGAACTGTTTCATCAGTTCAGGTGGGAGCAGCTCAGGAATGCAACACCAATCTGAGGGACTCAGGCAGGAGAGGCAGCCATAAAAATGAAATCCACAGAGCGAGAAGAAATTCTTCTTCAATGTCACTTGGTATATACGTTTGCTCTCCAACAGAAACCTTCCAAAACTGCCTGCTTGGGAAAAGGGGGTGAGCTAAAGCAGAACTGCACCTGATAAGAACCATTACTCCACAGGCCCTAGAGAACGGGAAGGGGCCATGTGAGATAGAGCGTGGTGAATGCCAGCATTTCCTTGTGTCCCAGGAGTGCAGTCAGCCATGTAGTTCACCATGTACTGGTGACTTTTTGCTGTAAGGCTGTTTGTGGTGGATTAGCAAGGAGATTGTGCTGTTCTCTGCTGCTTCCAAGGATATTTCTGATTTGCAATTCTCTTACAGTGAAATAACGGAGGAAAAGACAGGGGGCTAATTCAGCAAAATTGATCCATTTGATCAAAATTATGGCTTTCAAGAAAAAAAGAAAAAAAAAAGAAAGAGGTTAAAACGCCTGTACTCTTTCAGTTTCTCCAAGGAGCAGCCTTTGGTGGGCCATTTAACACAAATGCTTCAGAAGAAGCAGAAGCTGAAGCACTGAAATCCGGCCCAGACAGTACCCTACGTTGCCTGCACTGTCCTAACAGGTGAAATGGGTCTGAATGCTTGGTCTGACAAAAGCAAGGTTTTAAACGGTGTGACAGACACAGAAATGCTGACAGCCAGTGGTCAGTTCTCACTGCTAGCTCCTCAACACTGAGAAGTTTTCCTGGACTGGGTAGAAATGTAACCTTGCAAATAGGTTTTGGGAGGTGATAACCATGTCCAATGTCATTTAACTAATTCTCCCAGTAAGGCAGAGTGTTGCAATCCTGTCTATTCCTTGGAATATACCCAGAGAATGTGAGTACTGAGAACTGGGTATCGGGTAGAAATGGAGGTCTCTTTGGTATGTGCTGATAAACTCAGTGCACTATACTCAGCTCATGCTCACTGCAGATGCAGAGGCTGAGGTTTCCTAGCCCGGCCTCCACATCACCCCATCAGCCATTTGGCCTCTACCCCAAGCAGGTTTTGCTCAGAAAGGCTAGGCCACTTGGTGCTGGTCTCAGAGCTCACCATGTCAGCTCCTCTGACTGCAGGATGGGATGGAGAATGGGCACACATCCCCTGCGGCCAGCTCTGCTGTGCTGGCAGCCACTTCAAAGATGGAGAGCTGGAAGAAAGATGGCATGCTGGGTCCCGGTCAGGGTGCAGTGAGGGCTGGCTGCTCCTTGCAGCACACTTGGGTGGCATCTGTGCAGCTTTATAAGGTTGTAAATAGCCTTCCCTTTCCCTCAAGGAAACTCCTTGCCAGCATTTGTGTTGGAGTCTCTGTCATCAGTTACACTTGAACACTCTTCACATTAAATACTTCAATGAGTTCAAAGACCAAAACTAATAAATGTAATAACTATATCACACTATATCACTAATATTGAAGTGCCAACAGTCAGGCTGGTACCTTTCAGAACAGCAGACTTCAAGCTCAAGTAAATGCTTTTTTACTGCAGCCATCTTCTTGCCAAGTCTTGACATTAAATCTGCAGAGCCCATGTAGGGAAACTGTTAGGTCAGGGCTTGAGCTGGTGATTGAGCACCTGGTGAAGGGGAATCCCTAAACCAGGGAAGCAAAGGCAGATTGTTAGCACCTGTGCTCTCCCTGTGCCCAGAAAGGGTG